GAAGGAAGCCGTGTTTCTTGCCAGCCTGTTATCCAGCTCCAAACGCCCGTCCTCAACGAAACCTTGGAGAGATGGACCCCAGGAGTTGGCAGGAGGGGAGGAACCCCTGGCGGGTGGGGGTGGGGACGGAGGGGGGCACCCCCAGCCCCCACGGCAAGAGGGGCCTGGTGGGCCGTGTCCACTTTCTCGCCCCTCTGTGGGAGGGCCTCACCCCTCCCCTCGCCAGGGCCAGGGTGCTGACAAGGTCTACAGCTGATGGAAGATTTAGCACATGACCAGGCTCTGCCAGGACGGTCACCAACGTCCCCTCAGGCGGCCTGGACACCTGCTGTGGTATCGTCCTCATTATCTCCCCTTTAGGGAGAAGAAGCCGAGGGGCAGGGAGAAAGCGGGGTCCCCTTGGCCACTGGCGGGGCTGGTGGTCGCTCGCGGCCCGGGCCCCAGCCCTACCTCGGGGCTTGCTGTCGTAGTGGCCTCTTGGGCTGACGCTCTGTCGCCGCTCCCAGTCGGGGCTCCACGGCAGAGTCCCGCCATCCAGGAAGCAGGTAGGAGGGACCAGTGTCCTGGCCGGCATGTCTGCCCAGTCCCAGGGGGCCCCTCTGCTCCCGTTGGGCACCAGGCCTCCAGAGCAGACCGGGGCTGTGGGCACGGTGCTGGGGCGTGAGAGCGACAGGTCTGAGACCGGGTCCCCGAGAGTGTCCGGTGCCTCCGACCTGTGCAGCTTGGCTGTGAGGATGTCAATCCGTTGCTTCAGGACGTTGGCCATGGTCTCCAGCGCCTGTAGCCGGGCCTCCTTGTGGCGGAAGTGCAGGGGCCCCGGTGTGCCCAGGTGCTCGCTCTCCTCGGGGTCCAGGTAGATGCACACGCCTGGGCGCAGGGGCCGGCTGGTCGGGTCCTGGAGCTTCCGCATGGGGGCACCGTCCCAGCCGTCCTGGGGGCCGTCCATCTCTAGAGTCTCAGTGCGATTCAAGGCTCTGTTCAAACACAGGCAGAAGCTGCAGGGAGAGAGGGCAGAGGGGGTCAGGTCCGGCGCATGCGTCCTCTGCTGCGTGTTCAAAACACGTGTGTGCAGGGGTGAGCCTAGCGCAGCTTCTGTGAAGGAGCGCGTCCATTTACAGTGACTGTCTCTGGCCGGAGGGGTGGCTACGGGCCTCTATGCATGCAACAGGGACCACACACGGCCTGAGAAAGACCGAGTTCTGGGGTTTAACACTAAGAGCCTGGGCGACAAGAGAAAAAAAGAACTCAACCAAAGTATTTCAAGATGCACAACTTGTGTGCATGGAAGGACACAGTCAACAGAGTGAGAAGGTGGCCTCCGGGAGGGGGGACATGATGGCAAACCCCAGATCTCATAAGGGTCAATGCCCAGACGTATGAGGAACACCTACAACTCAACAACAGCAAAAACACCACTTTTCCATAAAAAGGAAGGAATCCTGACACTGGCCACAACGTGGATGAACCTGAGAATGAGGGACCAATCCCCAACGATGGACTCCCAGGAGGCCTGAGAGGAGTCAGATCCACACACATGGGGAGCAGGAGTGGGGGCGGGGGGATGGGAAGGAGGTTTAACAGGACAGAGTCCAGTGTGAGAAGATGACCACGTGCTGGGGACGGACAGAGGGTACGGTGCACAGCAGTGTGAACGCACGGACTGGCACTTAAAAGCAGTGAAGATGTTATGTGTACTTCCCTACAATGTCTTTAAAATGTGGAGGGAGAGGGATGCCTGGGTGGCTCAGCCAGTGAAGCGTCTGTCTTCGGCTCAGGTCGTGGTCTCGGGGTCCTGCGATCGAGCCCCGCGTCGGGCTCCCTGCTCGGCGGGGAGCCTGCTTCTCCCTCTGCCTCTGCCCCTGCCCCCCGCTTATGCTCTCTCTGTCTCTCTCGGTCAAATAAACAAATACAATCTTCAAAAAAATAAAATACATAATCATGAAAACAACAAAAACAAAAGAGAACAAAACAGAAAAGGAGTGTTGGCAGAGCACGGAGAGGCCGGCATCCTCCTCCGTTGCTGGGCGGGGGGGGATGCAAAATGACGCAGCCGGTGGGAAAACCACCTGACAGCTCCCCAAAAGTGAAACGCAAACTTCCTCTGTAGAGGTGCCCGGCGAGTCCACTCCCACGTCCGTCACACGAGATGGGTATTCAAACCATTCATTCACTGCAGCCCAGAGGGGGTGGCCCAGATGTCCACCAGCCGGCCGATGGACACAGCGTGTGGGGTGTCGTACCCCACAGTGTGACACTGTGGAGTCTTATTTGGCCGTGAAGAAGGAAGGAAGACCTGACAGCCACTGCAGCAAGGATGAACCCGGAGAACACGCCCCAAGGAAGAAGCCAGACCCCAACGGCCACATCTGCGGGACTCCGCTCATGGGAACGGTCCCCGCAGATGCCTCTGCAGAGGCAGAACGCAGGCGGGCTGCTGGGGAGCTGCTGAAGGGTATGGGGTTTGCTTCTGGGGTGCTGAAATGTTCTGTGAGCAGAGCGGGGGATGGCTCGATGCCCCTGCATCGAGCACTGTAAATGTGCTGTGGGAAGCGGCGCCCCCCGTGATCACCCGCTCTGGGCAGAGGGAGCCCCACCCAGCAACGGCAGCCCCCGCCGGCCTACCCACCTGCCCGGGGCCTCCTGGTCCCCCAGCACCATGCCGGAGGTCACCTTGCTCCACTCCAACACAGGCGACCCCAGGCTCCCGGGAGCTTCCAGGCCCTAAAGCAGAGGAGAGCACAGTGAGACCTCCGTCCCGGCCGGAAGACCCCGAGACGGCTCTCTTAGCCCCAGGACTAGCCCTGCCCTCTAGAGGGGCTCAGGCTGGACCCCATGGGGGCCCCCTCTCTAGGGCTGGGGCAGAGGCAGTGGGTCCCTCCTCCACCAGCCCCAGGGAGGCAGGCATCTGGGGCTGCCAGGAGCTCAGGGGCTGAGCTGGCCGGCACCGCGTCCTCACCCGGGCCCAGCTCCTACCCTGGACGGCGCACAATGCGGGAAAAAGGTCACAATGCCGGGGTTCGTCTGGGAGACCACAGGGACGGCTTTGCCGAGGACGGCCTCCCGCTGCTTCCTGTAGACTTCCTGCAGCCTCTGGTTCTTCAGCTCGAGCGCCCGCACGGCCGAGGCCTTCTCCTCCAGGGCCTGCCGCCGCCGCGCCAACCTCTTCTGGCGCATGAACTCCCGCAGCGCCTCGGTGCCGTAGCGGTGGCCCAGGGCCCCCCGGGGCTTCGGGCAGGGTGGTGGCACCCACTCCTCGTCCTCCTTCCCCGGGGCACCCCCGGCGGGCCTCAGCCAGCCGTGCTCCACTCCGGAGGGCGGCAGGAGGGAGCCTCTGTCCTTGCACGGGGAGCTAGCGCCCTGCGTGAAGGAGGCGCTCCGGGACCGCTGGCCAGAAGGGCTCCAGGGTCTTCGGGCGGGGCTCTCCCAGTCTTCATGAGTGGCCCAGGTCCGCGGGGGCCTGGAGGCCTGCCCGGCCGAGGCGCTCCAGGGCCGCTGCGGCAGGGAGGTCAGCTTCTCAGGGGGGCTCCCGGGCCTCTGGAAGGAGGGGTTCCGTCCTGGGGCCGCTCCGGTCCGCTGAGACCTGGAGGCCTGCCCGGCCGAGGCGCTC